TCGAACTGTTTGTTCACCTTCAACATTTACTCCTTTGTATTCAAGAATGCGAGAAACAAGGAGGGCATATGGAATTTTGAAGGTGAGATGGCGTTTAGCTTTTAACATAGTCATGGTGATAAGAACGCCCCAATCTAAAGGCTCATTATTCATTATGGCATGAATAATACGAAGATCAATTGAAGAACATTGAGCATGATTCGTAGCCCGGGGACATAAGATCCAGACAAGTAGATGTAAAATCATGCGTTCCTCCTTCTTCAAAGGTCTAGCAAGAAGAAGACACCCAATCTCCATGGAGGGATTACGCAGAAAAGAACGATAAGCTAAGAACCTGTCAAAATCATCTAACTCACCATACACGTTAATAACATCTTCTCTAATTGGAAAGTGGGCAACGTTCTCCCAAATATCATCATCAAGAATAATTGTGACCCCCTTTACACGAGAGGTAGCAATTTGATCTCTAAATTTGAATCTAGAGTAAAATACCCTAACTAAGTAAGGATAATATGTACCTTGCATTTGGATGAAAGGGAGAACTCCTTGAATTTCAAGGAGATTAGTGTAGACCCCAAATCTTGCCCGACCTCCAAATAAAGCCAGAAAGCTTCCTATTTGAAGACGGCCAAAGCCTAACAAGCCACTAGGAGAGACTATTAGGTCCCCGTACTAAGATAGGAGGGTTTTTTGGCCCGAAAAATAAAGTTCTCGCGCCTGAAGGGACGAGACCGCCGTCTGGGAAGACCAGACCGCTGTCTCGCCTCACGCCAGGGACGAGACCGCCATCTCACTTGTCCAGACGGCGGTCTCGCCACTGCAAAGGTCGAGACGGCGGTCTGGGTTTTCCAGACGGCGGTCTCGACCCCCTGCATGGTCGAGACGGCGGTCTGGATTTTCCAGACGGCGGTCTCGACCTTGTCAGACGAGACCGGCGGTCTCGCCACTGTCAGGCGCGAAAACCTATAAATAGGGGCTCTCTCCCCTCATTTCCACACACCAAGCACAGTAGCTCCTCCTTCTCTCTAGATATTCTCTCTCTAGAATCCCTCCGAAGCATTTCCGGAGTTTCTGAGTGTCTCTAGGCATAAATTGAGCGTTCTAAATCTTCTTTAGAATCCCTCTGAGGCATTTCTGGAGTTTCTGAGAGTTGTAGAGTGAAGGGTTGCCAAAAAGCACCCACTCTTTAAAGAGAAATATAAAAAAGCTTGCTTTGGAGGTGCATCCTCTCTCTTTCTAATTTTACCGCTTTCATTTAAAATTATGCAATAGACGCTAGGGCCATGTAGTCATAAACTTAAATTCCGCATAATAAAAAAGGGTAAAAGCGCAATTTTCCAGTTTAATTATTTATCCAAAGTAGCCGGCCTATCATAGGGAACCCGAAAGGGGTGTCGTAAAGGAACTAACACTTCCTTTACACGTAACTAACTCCCTTACCCAACTCTGGTTCTAATGACCAAAGTTGGTTTTCAAAAACCAACGCCTTTTTAAACTCCTTTTCCGATGTTTCCGGTAAAAACATCGGTGGCGACTCCACGAACCCTTCAAAACCCGTTCTTGGGTTAGCCCTAGTCATCTGGACAACCCAAGAACACTTTTCGAAAACCTCGTCTCTAGGTTAGCCCGGTTATCGGACAACCTAAGGACGTTGTACCCACCCATAAAAAATGCGAAAATCAAAGAGGGTCGAAAAAACCATCGCGTCGCTCCGACCGCCTCGTTTTGATGGCGACGACAGATGGCGACTCCACTGGGGAAGCCTAGAGAGTTGATCCCATTTAGTGATGGGCCGGCTTAAAAATAATTAAACCAAGAAAATAGCGCTTTTACCCTGCCTTGTATTATAACATGCTTTATTTTTTGGCTTTCAAATAACTGTTGCTTGTTTATACTTACGCAATTGATTGAAATATAAATTGCACACAAAACCTCGCACACTACAGTTCCCTCTATACCCGGGGGCAAGTGAGATAACCATAGGGAGTGGGTGGCAGGTACGGTTCGCTGTAGTTAGGGCCTTGTGCCCACCAGTGTGATCGGAAACCACCACTCAAGGTGATAACCTTCCTCTTTTGGCAACAAGACCGACTCTGGCCTTAGTGTTGAGCATGGTCGGACGGCTGGAGAGTGGGGACCCTATAATGGGGGCACCTTGGGGGCCTTAGCCTGGTGAGAACAGTTAGAACCTACCCTGACCAATGCACTTTTCTGCAGGAAAACCCTACCTCGTGATAAAAACGAAATCTCGCCTGCTCGGGGATGATCGAATTGTGTGTGCATATGATTGTTGCATTTGTATGTTGCATAGCATAAACAAACAACAGAACAAAAACCAAAAATATTTTTCACAAATAAACACCCTTATCTCGGACGACCGCCTTTTAGCTAGCCTGGTTTCGGGTTCTTTGTAAGCTAAGTAGCCACGCAGCTCCGACGGAAGAGATAAGGGACGCTAAATATTCTTTCGCATAAAGCTATATTTTATCTCGGACAGTCTGCCTTTTAGCTAGCCTGGTTTCAGGTTCTTTGTAAGCTAAGTAGCCACGCAGTTCCGACAGAAGAGATAAAAGGCTATAAAAATAAAAAAATTAAATAACAAAAAATCCATTTTTCCAAAATAAGACCTGGTCCAAAAATTACACTCATAAAACATTCATATAGATTGTTTATTCTTTCCAAAAGAAGTATAAATACCATACATCATGTAGAAAAACATGATAAATAGAAGAATAAACACTCACATTCATACAATAAACATCATCTTCATCAAATCATACATTTTGATTTTAGAAAATGGAGGGGACAAGTAGACAAGTGGGGAAGGTGGATATTCTCCGAAACCATACTGAGAAGTTGGAACGGCTCAGTGCAACAATGCCACCAGAGGTCCACGCCGATTTTGAAAAGTCCTATGGAAGAATTTTGGACCTCCTAAAAATCAGTGTCGATCAGGTCTTCCTCAGGGTACTGATTCCTTTTTGGAACTCTAGTCTGCGGTGCTTTGAATTTCCACAGTTCGACATGGTGCCCACCTTAGAGGAGTATGAAGCTATGTTGAAATGGCCTAAATCAGCCGGGGTCCATATTCGCCACGAGGCGTATACTCCTGCAGCATCAGTCGCTGCCCTTATCCATCTACCGTTCCGACAGAGTACCCTGATAGGAAGAGGGAACACCCAGGGATGGAAAGTATCGATGTTAGAAGACCACCTGTCCCACCTGGCTGAAAGGACAGAGTGGGTTGCCTTCAACAAAACCCTGACACTCATAATTTTTGGAACAATCCTGTTCCCCTTCCACCTCGACACAATAGACCAAGCCGTCATGGACGCCTTCTTCGCTTGGGACGTGTACTCGAAGAGTCCCTTGCCTGCTATTCTTGCCGACACCTTGCTCTTGGTGGATTTTTGCCATCAGAAGCAAGGGAGAACACTCCGCTGCTGCTCTTCATTACTGTACGTGTGGAGCATTACGCATCTTTACACCTCCAGTCACATGGGGATATTCCCCGATTCTTTGAGAAGTTTCTCCAAGATCTCCCTCCAACGACGACTGACTATAGAATGGAGGGATGAGTTAGAACGAAAGGACGCCAACAGTATATCTTGGGTCTGCCCTTGGTTCCGACCTGGCCCCGTTCTCATCAGATGTGGGGACTATCCGAACATACCCTTGATAGGACTCAGGGGTTGCATAGCCTACTTACCTAGAGTAGCTATGAGGCAACTCATGAGGACCCAAACTACTATTTCCCGAAGGGAGCTCGGAGGACTGTGCTTCTTTGGAGACCCGTGCACGATCACCAACTCATCAACCATGAGAAAAGCATGGGAGAGGCCAGTCTACATGGAAGACAGAGAGCTAGGAAAAGCTCGGGTAACTGTTACCAGTGACTACGAGGCATGGAGAAGAAGAAGAGGGATGGCTCAACCATCCACCACACCTGTGCCAATCGCCAACAATGAAGAGCTGCAGGCACAAGTCAATGCCTTGACCCAGAGGGTAGAAATCACGGGATCCCAGATACGGGCACTTGAGGAAAAAGAGCAAGCATCTATCCTCACGATTGACGGTCTACAAAGGCAAGGCAAGAAAAATGATCATGAAATAGAACGATTATATAGGTAAATAATCGATTAAAACAGTGAGAAAACCACTTTCTATACAAAGTCACTGTTTTAATCGATTAAACAGCAAAATAATCGATTATTTTGTACTGTTCCGTACAGATAATCGATTATTTCACCAAATAATCGATTAATCCAGAGAGGTTTGGGTTCTGTCATATTTGGCTCTGTTTTAATCGATTATCACTCCAAATAATCGATTATTTCAGTCTGTTTTTCATTTTAAATTTCAAATTGACCCTATTTTCGAAAACCCAATTACCAAGAACCCTAGTTTCGAAATCCCCAATTTCTAAACCCTAATTTCCCTACTTAAACTCTGCTTTGGCACTCAGAAAATAAGAACAACTCTTTCCATACAAAAGTTAAGTGCTGTGAGTGCCAGAGAACTGTTTGTTGCAAGGAAAGGGGACTTTTGGAACCTGGTGTGGGCTAGAAGCGATAAGAATCACTAAGTGGAGTTCTTAGTGGATTGTGTGCTGTGCCGTCTCTGGGGAAAGCTGTTCTTCATCTCTTGTGGATTTCAAGAGAGGTGTTGTCTTTACTTTATCTCTTTGATTTGTAAACTGTTTGTAACAATTTGTTCTTAGTGACAACGTTAATCCTCTTTTGAGTGATTAGCAACTGGACGTAGGGTCTTTTGATCCGAACCAGTATAAACCTACTGTGTAATCTTCTCTACTCTTCTCTATTTACATTTACGCAGTTTTTAATCGGTAAAATTTGGGGAAAATTTTGAAAACCTCATTTTTATTAAGAAACCAATTCACCCCCCCTCTTGGTTTTTGTCCGACCACGCGAACATTCCGCTGCGTGATTCTAACAAGTGGTATCAGAGCTTGCTTTGATAGTCATTCAAAATTTTCAAAAATGGCCGGACAAAATCAAACTTTTGCCGAAGGTGCGTCTATCAACAGACCCCCACTTTTTGAGGGTCAAAATTATCCTTTTTGGAAAGTACGTATGCAAATATTTTTAGAGTCTGTTGATAGAGGCGTTTGGGACGCAATTTTAAATGGTCCATTTGTTCCTAAAACTACTGAGAACGGTGTTGACGTTCTTAAACCTATTTCTAGATGGACTCGAGAAGAAAGTCGAAAAGCACAATTTGATGTTAGGGCTAGAAACATTATTTCATCTCGCTCTAACCCTTGATGAGTTTTATAAAATTTCGGTTTGTAAAAGTGCACAGGAAATGTGAGAAATGCTAAGGGTGACCCACGAAGGAACCGACGACGTCAAAAGAGCACGTACAAATTCTTTAATCCAAGAATACGAGATGTTCGGATGCAACCCGGCGAAACGATTTTCGACGTTCGAAACGTTTCACTCATATCGTAAACCATCTCACCGGACTAGGTAAAATTTTTGATGTTGATGAATTAAATGTTAAAATTTTGAAATCTCTCGGATAGGAAATGACAACCAAAGGTGACTCGCCATCTCGGAGTCACAAAATCTTGCCACTATGTCCATGGCGGCGTTATTTGGAAAGCTTAGGGAGCATGAGCTTGACCTTGGAAGACTAAATGAGGAAGAGGGTCAATATCAAAAGAAGAACCTAGCTTTCAAGACCGAGATTTCAAAAAGCAAAAATAAGAAAGAAGAAGAAGAAGACTCCGAAATTGATGAAGAAGAGATGAGTCTTTTTATAAAGAAGTTCACCAAGATGATGAAAGCAAAAGGAAGACATCCTTTCAAAGGTAAGGGAAAGGTAAAAGAAAATTCTTCCGTTAATATAAAATGCTTTGGTTGTGGTGAAGCGGGGCATATAAAGACCGAATGCCCAAACAAGAAAAATGATGAACACAAGGGCAAAAAGCAATTCAAGAAGAAAGCATATATTGCTTGGGATGACGATGATTCAAATTCAGAATCAAGCGACTCGGAAATAGAAGCAAATAATTGCTTAATGGCAAATGACAACATTTCTTCGGATTTTGAGGTTAGTGATTCCGATTCATCCTCTAGTGAAGAAAATGACCATGATGAATTGCAAAATGCTTATAATGAGTTATTTACTGCATTTATGGATATGAAAAACGAATTTAAAGTTGTAAGGAAAAATCTAAGAAGATCCGAAAAGGAAAATGAGTCCTTAAAATTGAAAATTGCATGTTTAGAAGAAAAGGAGGTAGCTAATACGAAAATTGTATGCTTAGATGAGAATAAGGACTTAGCTTGTGCAAATTGTAAAGAGCATGAATATGACATAGATATTCTTAACCATTTGCTTGACAAAGCCGAAAAAGAAATTGATGATCTTAGGATGCATGAAATGGTAATTGCTCAAAATAATGTAAATCAAAGAGTTCCTTTGAAAAAGAGTAAACCTAAAAAGAAAAGAATATGGGTAGAAAAAGGAACTAGAGCATGTCATGTTAATAATGTATCTTGTTCTAAAGCTACTCCAAATGCATGCTTCTATTGTATGAAACAAGGTCACACTTCAAATAAGTGTAAAATTAAACATTTTGGTGTTCCTAAAGGTAAATATATTTGGGTTCCAATTGTTAAATAAATCTATTTGTATCTTGTATTTATTCAAAGAAAATGGATCATTTAGTATGTTTTAAACAGAATGATTAGGTAAAAACATTTTATCTTTTCTATTGCATGAATGTTCTTCACTTAAATATTTTTGCGAAAAGCCTCTAAAATTGTTTTAAACAACTAAAAACAAAGTATTTTTACAAAAGCTTTCTTAAAACATGTTTTTAAGCGATGCAGTTTTGAAAGAACCAAATAAAATCACTTAGAATGTTCAAAGAAGTGTTTTTACAGTATTTTAATCGATACAACTTGTTTTTAATCGATTAAAACCATTTAGAACTCATTATGATCGATCAGATTTTTATTATGAGCGGTCAGAATCTTTTAAATCGATTAAAAACACGTTTCAATCGATTAAAATCACTTAAAGGGTCAGGATGATCGATCAGAATCAAATTATAAGCGATCAGAATTCTTTTCAATCGATTAAAACACGTTTCAATCGATTAAAATCATTTAAAGGGTCAGGATGATCGATCAGAATGCAATTATGACCGATCAGAATCGATTATGATCGATCAGAATTTAGTTATGACCGATCGAACTCTTTAATCGATTAAATCTCGTTTCAATCAATTAAAACAACTTAAAAAAATTTCTACACTGCGTTTTAATCGATGAAAAGAAGTTTTAACAGATTAAAACTGCACTTTTAACAGATTAAAAGAATCTTTTAACAGATTAATTAAACCAGCGAGTTTTGAAAATCGTCTATAAAAGCAGTTTGGCTTGAACTTTTTAAACACACATTGAATATAAGTTTTCACACATCCTTTAGCAATCAATCAAGCAACTGCGGTGCAAACACTTTGGAGATCAAGGATGTGCTACTTGTTGATGATATTATTGGATCAACTGATAGTTTGTTATGTGTAGAATTTGCTAAGATTATGCGAGGAGAGTTTGAAATGTCTATGATGGGAGAATTAACATTCTTCCTTGGACTTCAAATCAAGCAACTTAAAGATGACATTTTCATCTCTCAAACTAAATACTGCAAAGAGATTCTCAAAAAGTTTGGAATGGACACCTCAAAGGAAGCCAACACACCCATGGGAACTTCATGCTATCTAGACAAGGATGAATCGGGTTTGGAAGTTAATCAAACTATGTATAGAGGTATGATAGGATCACTATTATACTTAACTGCAAGTAGACTCGATATTATGCATTCCGTCTGTGTGTGTGCTAGATTTCGGGCTTGTCCTAAAGAATCTCATCTAATTGCGAGTAAAACATATTTTAAAATACTTAAAAGGAACTACTGGATTTGGCTTGTGGTATCCGTCTGATGCTTGTATTAGTTTATTAGGATATTCGATGCTTGATTATGATGGATGTAAAATTGATAGGAAAAGCACTAGTGGGACATGTCATTTGTTAGGTTCATCCTTAATATCATGGCATTCTAAGAAACAAGCATGTGTAGCTTTATCTACCACTGAAGTCTGAATATATTGCAGTTGGTAGTTGTTGTGCTCAAATTACGTGGAAGAAACAACAATTAGAGGATTATAGCATATATTTAAATGACATTCCATTAATGTGTGATAATACGAGTGCAATCAACCTAACTAAGAATCCGAGTAATGCACTCTAGGACTAAACATATTGAAATAAGACATCACTTTTTAAGAGATCATATCGATAAAGGAAGCTGTAAGATAGAGTATGTAGACACTAAACGTCAATTAGCGAGATATATTTACTAAGCCTCTACCCAAGGATAGATTCTATGATCTTAGAAGAGACTTAGGGATATTAGAAATAACTTAAATTCCGCTTAATTTGATCTGTTTACGGATGATTGTTATGTTAAAATTCGTGGTGTAGCATGTTCATAGGTTATTATGCATATAAATCTCAAAAACTTGATATAGCCTCCGAAATAATCGATTCATTGGAAGTAATAATCGATTATTTTTCCTCAAAACGTCCAAAACGAGGTATTCTCCTTCGGAATAATCGATTATTTCGTGAAATAATCGATTAAATGCCTCTCGATAATCGATTATTTGCTAGAAATAATCGATTAAAGCTAATACGATATAGGAATAATCGATTATCTTGAAATATAATCGATTAAATACGACTCAGTTTGCCTCCTAGCCGTTGCCAACGGATATTTTGCCATGGAATCTCTTCTATATGACCGTTGGAAGTGTTTTCTCTATAAATAGAGACATCTAGGTCAATTATACTCACTTCTAACTCTTGTAATCAAGTTTTCTTGAAATCTATACTCTCTTTGCTTCATTATTCCCTCACTTGTCTCCAAAATCTCTTCAAGTTTATCTACTCTTTCAAATGGCCTCATCCTCTCGCCCTAAGATTCCTACAAAAAGAAGATCTGCACCTTCCTCTCATTCCCGTCCTAATTTTGTAGAAGGATGGATCTACGATGCGAGATGGTCAACAAGAATTTCTAACCTACTGGAAAGAAAAAGCTATTATTTCTCCCAAATTTCTTATAGGTGAGCAATTCATTCGTAGGGGTTTCAATTTTCCTAATCTTCTTGAAATTCAAGGAGTTCTCCCGTTTATCCAAATGCAAGGTACATACTATCCGACTTAGTTAGGGTATTCTATTCTAGATTCAAGTTTAGGGATCAAATTGCTACATCCCGTGTAAAAGGGGTTTCCATAATTCTAGATGATGATATTTGGGAAAATGTTGCTCACTTCCCCATTAGAGAAGATGCTATTAACGTTTATGGTGAGCTAGATGACTTTGACGGGTTTCTAGCTTATCGCTCTTTTCTACGGAATCCCTCAATGGAGATTGGACGTATCCTTCATGCTTGGACCTTTAAAGAAGGAAGAACGCATGCTTCTACATTTACTCGTATGGATCTTATGTCCCAGGACTACGAATCATGCTCAATGCTCATCCATTGATCTTCGAATTATTCATGCCATAATGAATAATGAACCTTTAGATTGGGGTGTTCTTGTCAAAATGACCATGCTTAAAGCAAAACGTCATCACACCTTCAAAATTCCATATGCCCTTCTTGTATCCCGTATTCTTGAATATAAAGGAGTGAATGTTGAAGGTGAGCAAGCGAGTTAGAACAAACAACTTAAACCGCATGCTAGACAGCACATTGACTCAACTTCAAATGGTGCGAGTCAATGACATCTATGTTCACAAAGATGACGTTCAAAATCAAGGTGATGCAAATGAAGACTCGATGAAGATATGCCTCCAGATGCTAATTTTCCCTCTAACCAAATCCAAAGTGTTGGAACATCCTCTTCTCATCAAGAAACAAGACAATCCATGGAAGATATGCTTTCCGACATGAATCAAAGAATGCAATCATTCTTCAATCTTTCTGGTGTACGCCATGATGAAATTATTCGTCGTATATCCGATGTAGATGATAGAGTGGGTAGATTAGAAAATAGATTTGATACTCACTTTAATGATGATGATAGTGAAGAATTTTAGATTTTATTTTATATCTTTGTATTGTAATGAATGAATGATTATGAAATAAAATATGATGTTTCTTTCATGCTATGATTAAGGGGGAGCTTTCTCTAACTTATGCATATTTTGAGGGGGAGCTCTTATGATTGATGTTGCAGAGTTCTTTTTGATTATAATCAAAATAGGGGGAGAAAAATTTAAAGCCTATGATTCAATATTAAATTTTATCTGGTATGTTTAATGTGTTTGTTAGTATGACAGATAAAACAGGTTATTACAAGGGCTTTAAAAAGATAATTTTGATCATCATCAAAAAGGGGGAGATTGTTAAACATTCAAGGACTTGATGTTG